CTACTCTCTTATTTTAATGGTGTTGTGTTACAGTATGATTACTTGTCACGACTGTGTCTTGCTCTAACTCATATGCAATTTTTTTTATGAGAAACCAGATTTGCTTTTTATTTCGATATTTGTTGAATCATCGATCAATGTTCACCAAATTGCTCAAAAAAATGGAACAGAAAAATGAACTGCAGGATACATGTAGTTCAAGTTTATTTAAGACTCGCCAGCGCGTGCAACTAGGCAAAACATCAAGATGGCAATAATCGAACTTGTGTAGTTCAACACAGTAATCAGTGAAGAAATGCAAAATGGTTTCCGTGTTTACATAGCCTGATGTATACACGCGGGAGGTTGGGAGAACATGAGACAAGCATAGGAAACCACGACGTGAAGTGGAGTGGTTTCCAGCTTATAGAGTGTTCTCCTAACCTCCCAAGTGTTTACATCAGGCAATGTAAACACAGGAACCATTTTACATTTCTTTTTTAAAATAACTAATGAAAGAGGAACGAAAACCGTGTTTACATACACTCATGTAAAATGGTTTTATAGCCAATCAGAGCGCGCGTACTATTTGAATAATTTTATAAAGAATTTTGTAAAATTGGTGGCTCCTAAAGGAGCCGTTTGTTTATTATGGAAGCTTTTAGTATCCCGACGCTCTTCCTTCACGTTGGACTACGGCCGGAATAACTTTCCGGAGGTGGCTAATATATATTTGCACGATTTACATCACGAGCGATGCGAAATGAAACTGTCTACATTCCGGTGTGTAAACACTGAAGCGGGCGCCTATTGCAATGAATAAAACAGAACACCAATCATATTCTTAAAAAGTGTATTTTCTTTCTGATCCTTACCGAAGATGATCGAGGTGGGTTTGAAGTTTCGAAGAAATCATAACCTGCGATGCAAACACCAAATTGTTTACATTCCGCGACGTAATCATCTTGGGCTTATACTATTTTGCGAAACGAAACGAAACGAAATCAGGTGAGATAGAACAAAACTAAAGGAATAATGCAGACATATTTTCTAACAAGGTAAAGAAAACTTTCACAAGGAATTTGGAGTAATCGTTCATTAACAAGAAGGATTTTTATTCAGTTCGCAAAATAGTAATTTTAGGAGCGTTACTATTTTGCGAAATGGCATTTTTCACCCTGCGGTGACAACGTGACCTCTTCCATGTCACAAAAATACATTT